TCATTTTCGGGTGTATTATTCCTAGATTTACAGCAGGCTTTTTACCACAAACCAACAGAGGTATAGAACCCCACTCCACATAAACAAAATTGCATATTTTTCATAGTCACTGCCATTCCGCTCTTCTGAATGTCTACAACATAAATAGCCCCTCTCTCTCTCTATCTCTCTCACTCTCTTTCTCTTTCCCCACCCCCTATTCTCCAACACATTTGAGTGTTCTATTTCAGCACCATCTCTCTCATTCTCTCGGTGCTGCAGCATTAGCCTCCATCCCCCACAAAAACACACATCTCTCCCTTATTAAATACAGCCATTACTCCCCCATCCAGTCGTCTGCAAAGCCCGCCAGACTGGAACGCAAACATCAATATGTAGAAACACATACACCAGAGCCTTATTACCACCATCAAACGGCAAACGTAAATATACATTATGTCCTATTGTGACATCATGAGCCCAATAACAATCCCCTCCTTCTGTGTAATTGGCATTTCTCTGTAATTTTTCTATGTAATTCTCTGACAAATATTTCGGAATGGTTATTTTTCTCCTCTTTTCACAAGCTGAAATAATACTTGTGAATATGCATTCAACTGAGACTCAAACCAGGTGACTCAAACTCAAACCAGGAGACTCAAACCACCACAACAACAACAACACCACCAGCGACGACAATGAGGTCATCAAGAACCCCCATCTCTTCTCCTCGGGTTCTTACTCACATGCTCTCGGGACGCTCCTGAGATGGACAGAGGGGCTGTCCGTTCTCAGCGGACTCCACTGCTCCCATCCTCTGCTATATGATCTCCACTGGCACCCGTCTCCTCCTCCTCCCCCCAACCTGCGCCTCCTGTTCCTCCACGTCTCTCGTCCTGAGGGCCCTTGGGCTGGCGTCAGACTCGCACTTATTCGCTGCAGTAGAGCCGGAGCAGATGGCATCAGGGGCATACGGGTGACCCACACTCAGCCCTCAGCATCACTTCCTTTCGCTCTCGGACTACTTCTCTGTCTCTGTCTACATTGCATCAGATGGAGGCTGTATCACTCCGTGTATCCTTGACAACAATAGAACAGAACTGCTAAGCCTTATGGGTAGAGAAGTGGAAGGATGCGAAGACGAGTGAACAAGAGAGAACGGAGGGAGTAAGAGATGCTCTTGCTCTCTAGCAACTCCGTCTTCTCATTGGATTGTTGTGGCGTTTGGCAAAGTGGCTGCAGGTTTTCTCCATAACCCCTCCCACTCTGTGTGTGTCTCTCTCTCTCTCCCTCTCTCTCTCTCTCTCTCTCTACCTCCCTAGGGACCAGAGTGCTTTAAAAGATGAGCAGCTTTTCCCTGTCGATCTGAGCTCTCTTGTGGCTGATCAGCACAGCGAACTCAAACAATAGCCGACCCCACGTCAAGCCAAAATACACAGGTGTCCTTTTTACACGCTGAGACACAGAAAGACACAAAGGCATGTGGTATTCCTACTATTACGTGATTCCCTTAAATCACATTACTATCCATCCCGTCAAAGCAGATTTCTTAATTTAAAAAGAAGAAACTTGACCCTGATGGTCACTTTAGGGTCTTCCAAACCTGTAGGACATTATTTATTCTGTGGAACATAAAAAATATATTTTAAATAATGTTGGGTCCAAACAACTTTGAAGCCCATTGACTTCCACAGAAGAAAGAAAGTAATACATGTTTTGAATGACATAATTGATGACAGAAATGTACATTTTGGTAGAATTATCCCTATAATACAGTATTTGTTTCAGTCTTTGTGATTTTTCATCATCTGAAGTAATTTCAGCATTATAACATGCATCACACATAAAAAATATTACATTACTTCTGTACATAAACATTCAATTTAATGATTTCAATGGATTCTCTGATACCATGACATTTCTAAAAAGTGCATTTCTACTTTGTAAGAGTTAATGCTTGAAAAATGTCTGTCAAATGGGTTCTGATGGGGTCAATGAAACATTAAAATTCTTGCCTATCCAAAAATCAACAGAGAATCTATCTAATAGCAACATGTAATAAAATCAACCAATAAAGCATAAATGAACTGCATGTACAACAGACTTGATTTACAACTGCTCTCTCAACGGTTTCAGATCTTTCTATTTGCTCAGGTCAAAGTCATTATTTATCGACCCCTCTGAGAACAGGAAGGGGTAATGACAGAAAGCAGCCTTCAGTCCTGATGTTCTCAAATGACAGAAACAGATACATTCACAAATTCAATTGATATGTTGTGAAAGGGATAGTTGGTGTGATCTGAAAAATGAAATGAGAATGAAAACGACAGAACATGAAAATGAGAGACAACTCAAAGAAAAGAGTTTATCAGCCTGAAGGGGAGTAGCACCAATTCATAGAGGTCAAGCTAATCCATATTGATTTACAGCAAGAGACAGCAGCAGTTGTGGGAAATTGGGACATTGGTGGGGGGATCTGAAATTTGAGGATTACAAATCTATTGTTCACTCGTGAGAAAGCAGAACAAAGAGATTTTCACACAGATCTGCCCATTCACTTATAGAGCCTGAGGACTGGACACGGAGTAGGGAAAGGTTTCATGCCCCAAAGTTAACCGAAGCTTTGTTGTGCTCCTGTGTTTGTATATGACATTATTATGAACCTCTGAAGAAACAATTATTAGCAAAATTAAGATGCACCTGAAACTAACTCTGAGCTTGAGGCCTTTTTTCTGAAGAGAAAGAAGAAAAAGGTGGGCAGTGACTCTTCAAGAAAGAAAGAAATCAACTATACAAAAAATAAAAATAAAACAAAATAAATATAAAAAATATATATATATATATATATACATACAATAAAATATTAAGGAGTGCATAAAGAATTTATTTTTCTAAAAGAAAGACTGTCCAACAGATTACAGTACATTTTGATGTGGTGCAACCACGAAAGATATTGCAAAGGCTGTTTTTTGTTTAAAGATTCATAACATGGGCTTTTAGTATCTAGGCTGAACTTACTTTCAGCATCAAGTATAGTTCACTTGGCCCTGAAGAAGACCATCTGTTGGTCGAAACATGTTGGCTTGACACTTTTTTATTATGAAATAAGCCAGTTCCAATAAAGGCTTTTTAATCATCATCTTCTCCTCATCCGTTCTTTGAGTGCCTGGGACCTGCATGTTGTTATAGTTATTATTAATTTTTGGTCTAGGAAAAATATTCATATTTGCTATGACTCTCAAACCCTTAAATCTGCCACCTGTGTGATGTATTGAATATATTAAGCTTATTGAACTATATCGAGTGAGATATATTGAGCTACATTTTTCCATGACAAATGTGTAAATGTTTACCTAAACATGTCTTACAAACCAGAATTACTGTGTGTTTATATACTATTAACTCATACACTAAATCATACGTACTAACAAATGACCTCTCTTATCAAAAGAGAAAGACTGAAAAGATAAAGGAGGAATGCCCTTGGTAGCAGTTTCATTCCCCTAATGGAATTTTTATGTTGAGATGCATCAAGCTGGCGCCTCAGGACATCAGTTTTAATGTGGCTGTATGGTGGGGGACTTCCTAAAGAAATCTCATTATGCAAATGCTGCTTTTAGATTTTACACCATTTAGATTATTAAGAATATTAAGACTCTTAATATAAAATAAAAAGTTTGATTTAACAGGGGTCCAGTGTGAGGTAATTTGTTCGAACAATACACTGTCAAAAATGTACAAATATTGATACAATAGCTTGCCACTTGAAGGTCCACCTCTGTGCCTTATAAATCGCTAAAGAGTGTGTGTTAGTAGTAATACGCATTCTGTTTCCTTTATGGGTAGATAAGATACAACGGTGTACATTTGCCATAGCTACAGTGTAGAACAGTTTATATTACAAATGCAAGCTCTATGCCTGTTCTGATGTGTGTTTTTCAAACTGTGCTGCAGTGGGCAGCAGAGCTCAGGTCCAGAGCAGAAAGAAACACATGCATATGCATGATCGCCCTCTACTGTCTGATAAAAGAAATCTAAGCTGAGCTCATTGTCTGTCAGCCATGCCAACGTGGCCGATTCATCCTGCTCCCTATCCAAACACTGCATAGTTTCAGATAGATGTATAAACATTTACAACAATGTACACAAATGGAAAGGAGTCACCTACAATATTAGCAAAGCACTTAATTGCAACAACTGGATCTTAAAGCAACAGTTTTTTATGCATACATTTATTATAGCATAAATATAGTGGCCCCAAAACATATTTGGACACTTAAGCCAAGCTGTACACTTTATGAATGTCATTGCATTAGATAACAAAATAAAAATGTGGAAAATAAGAACCCTTTTAAGCAAAACATTTCCGTTTTAAATAAATGTTTTAAGTACTAAAATATTAGATATTCTCCTCAAAATCAAAGATAGGAGAGAGGTGATTTATCCAGATTTTTTTTGTTATGAAAGTCTCTTTGAAATTCGAATATAATTTGAATATTTAAAAAAAAAATCAATACTATTCGAATGCTTAAGTTACAATTCGAATATTGCTTTTTTATGTATATATATTTTTTATAATATGCAATGCAATCTTGCCTTTCTCACCACCTTGGCTTACACGCATGTGAAAATGAAATGCTTTTGTTTCGCCTGATGAACAACAAAGATTTGGAATCCATTATTACTGTAATGTTAAGTGCCTGAGACATGAGGTAGTTTAACGCCACCTCTTGGAGGATGAGATCTTATGCTTTTAGGGCATGTAGCAGGTTAGAGGGCCCAACGAGTCAATGTATAGAAAAATAATGTAGGAACTAGATTTTCCAAATAGGAAGTGAATACTGTATAAATAGTAAAAACATTTCTCTGCATTGTCTCAAACCATGAAGGTACTTTACAATAAACAAAAAGCAAAAATAATAGAAACTGAATTTTAGTAGTGAAACATCATCTGTGAAACCGTGGCATTCTAACAATCGTTTAAAGAAGAACTGTTGAACAGCACACTGATTATATCCTACCTTGCTGAAGGTTCAGAGTGCTGGAGCTGTTGGATTTGAAGAGGCAGAGGGGGAGACTCAGGTATATCAGAAGGAGCAGGAGGAAAGGTCTGAGGCTCAGGGGCAGCCCTGTCCGGAGGGGTAGGGGGTGGTGTGGGGAACTCGACTGTGTCCTGCAGCAGGTGGGCAGGGAGGGCAGGAGCAATGCTGTGCTGTGGTGGGGGTGATGAGGGAGAGGCGACAGGCTCACTCCTCTCAGCAGCTTTTATCAGAGGGGGCCTGAACAACACATACATTTCCAAATATTAACACCACAAAAACACATGCAAACACACACAGGGCAGGGTAAGGAGAAAAGCAGTCACCTATAAAATGGTTCATGTAAAAACCATTATTATAGTACGTATAATAGCAGCAATAAGAATGTGACATCTCAGAAATTAATGAAGTAAAAAAAATAAATATATATATATATATATATATATTATTGTTATTAATATTTCATAATTTTTAAACAATGACTCCCAAAATTTAACAAAATCTGAACAACAAAAAATAACAAATAAAATGTTTAAAAATCTACAAAAAGTTTTGGGTCCATTTCTTTATATACATATACATATACATTTGTACTTTTATTAAACAAGATGGAATTAAATTTAATCAAATGTAACGGTAGATACATTTTAAATGATACAAAATATTTCTATTTCAAATCTGTTCATTTGAATATCTTTATCTTGATGAACGTTCTATTCATCAAATAATCCTGGAAAAATGTATCAAAGTTTCCATTCAGTGTGACACTAAAGACTGGAGTAATGGCAACTGAAAATTCAGCTGTGTTGTATAATAAAATAAAAAACATAATAAAATAGAAAACAGTTATTTTAAGCTGGAATAATGAAATATTTCTGGAATAATATTTCTGTATTGCAGCCTTGGTGAGCATAATATGTTTAAAAAGCTTTTTTAAAATCTTACTGATCCCAAGACCACTGATTGATTCATAATTGTTTACATTTTTGCATAATTGTTCATACAATAATAAATCACAAAACGTTACATCACTCCTATACTAAATCACCCTACTTGGCAGGGAAAATGGCAATAGCAGAGCATTACCACAAACAAAACCTAATCCAACAGGCAGAGCAGCAGACAGCCCTTCAGCTGCTCCTATCAAGGGGTGTGCCTCATGTCACATCCTAAAAATACAACTCACTCCAGTCTCCACCACACTGCTTAAACAACTGCACATAGCATTGCGCTATCCTTTCAGTAACAGTTGTAGACAGTTAGCAGAACTGCCCTCTAATCAGGCCTACTCTTATGATCCTCTCCTTATTTTGCTTTAGCCGGATAGTGGGAGATTGCATGCTAGACATAACCACAAAACACAACTTTAATGTTGTGCACAACAAGGTTTAAAATGCACCATAGTTAATAGAAAGAGCCCTGGATAAGAATCTGATCTCACAGGAGCAGCTGTGTCTTTAGGAATAAGTCCAGACATGGTTTTTAATAGCAAACAGACTGCAGAAAATAAAGGCAGCAGGAGGGAATTGCTGTTTTACCAGCCATAAAAAATAACAACGTCACTACTGTTAGCGTACTGACAGCAATATTTAAAGCATAATTAGACAAGTATTATTAGGGCCTTTTGTCTTGTTTTATAATGTACAATTGTTAAACATTTTGACTAAGCACCTCTTTTAAAAGCTTCCCTAAAATAATTGTTTGATTAACTCAAAATAATTGCTATGGATAACACTTGTTGCCATGGTCACTGTTGCTTAGCTCCAGTCACGCATCATAAAGTTTCCAAGCCAACCCCTACCTCTCTAGGGAGCTTTTGCATCCACACAGAAACATTCAATCACTTCAGATGTGAAATTACAAGTGGATTCAAAATAGATTAAATAGAACCCTCAAATGTGGAATAAGGAACAATCCATCATAATTACAGTGAACAGTTTGGAAATGACATATTCAGCTGCCCTATATAAAATGTGTGAAAGTTGGAAACACAGAATTTAATGGTAACTGTGTGGGCACTATAAAAATTAGCATGCTCAACCTTTCATTTTAATTCAATGCAAATGCAGTCAGCTGGATATTATGGTAATTTTATAACATTGCTGTGTTTCCATTCAGCTGTTGAGACTCTAGTATAAGAAAAATCTGCAGCTTCCTAAATAATACAGAAAATAAGCTCTCTGGTTTCCTCCGAAGGGAAACCTAAGAGCTTTAACAAATGGTAGCTGCTCAGGCTTTTATTAAAATTAGTTACAGTAATCTTAACAAGATAATATTAGCTCCGATGTGGAAAGTTGTAGGTTAGCCAAAAACATCTGACTATATACTTCAGGCAACAGTTGTGCCCTATAATTCCTTTATACACTGTACAAACCCTCAAAAGCCACATATAGTTCAAAACTCCATCTCTGATTATTCCAAAATTCAAGAGTAAACTCGCATGCCACAAACTATAAGCATTAGCATTTTATCGGTTCAAGTAAAAATGACTTGACTGCAACCATAAAATCCTGTGTATAATTTACTTCATTCCTTACAATAATGGAATTTAACCTTCTGTCAACACTAACCAAATCATTAGCATTAGTTGTATGATGCTGTCAAAACACAGCACAAGCAAGCCAGCAAATTTGAAAGACATAAAGAGACACACTTCCTTATTTCCTCCCCGTCTTCCTACTGACCCTCCCCCCATCTATTCAGTGAGATCATCACAAACCATCTGTAATTAGCATCTCTCAAAATACCTATAAGCCCGTACCTCAGCAACTTTCACTATTAGTCAAATTAAAAGAGAAAAACATCATTTTAAACAGCAAATGACAGTATAGAACTCACCCGAGATCAGCAACCAAAGTACAGATTGCGACTATTCTTTTAGGCAAGCCACTCAAAATTCCTCAGGCAGCCACTTTACACTACCTCTCTCTTTTATTTCTCTGTATCTCTCTCCCTTTCTCGCAGTCTCTCGTGAGTATCTATCTATCTATCTCTCTCTATATATATATATCCGTCTATCCATCTATCTATTCACTCTGAGTGGACTAATATTCTCAACTGGAGCTGCCCTGAACGATGGCTTTTGTTCCTGACTGACTGACGGACCTCTTGGTATGACCTCATGTGAGGGCGTTGGTGCAAATAGCAAACACATATGCATGCTTTAGCAAGACATGTGCATGCACACACATACTGACAGATACAGGCAAAATTCCTTTAGTCCACATCTGTGTCAAGTAACGAAGTGTGGGGCGCTCGGGGATACTGGGTCAAATGTCCAGTCAAAGTCTGTATCTCTTCTTTTCCCTCATTTTCACTCTTTATCATTTTGTCCACCACTCTCTCTTTCCGTTTATCTTTCTGTCTCTCTGCCTCCCACGTGTCTTTCTAAATGAGGCTGAAATCTTTGACTGACAAGCACCAAGTGCTCCACTTTCATCTGTTGTGGCTGCTGCAACAGAGCAGATATAGAATGAAGAGTGGGAGTCTTCAAAAAATAGATATTTGAACACCCACATAGAAATATGGTTAATTTAACCAATGACATACATACAGCTTAGACCATACAGACAAAAATCTAACACATTTATTTGAAAAAAAACCAAAGTGATGCCCCCGACTACACTGCATGAGCCTTCTATCAATAATGATATTCCAGCATTATTTTACATTACATTATCTTAATGTAATATCTCATAATAGTCATTTACATTCCTGTGTGGTTTGTAGCAGTAGATTCAATAACAAACCAAAGAAAGTGCATAAGAGGTATTTACAAAAGTCTCACCTGCAGTCTTCTTGTTCTTCTGGCTGTTCAGTAACAGAGAGAAAACTGTCCTCAGGCGCAGTGGAAAGACTCTCCTCAGTAGCAAAGGGCAAACTCTCCTCAGGAGCAGGGGGGAAATATTCCTCAGTTGGGGTTCGGAATTCTAGTTCAGCCTGAGGCGAACCAAGGGTCTCAAATGGTCTGGAAAGAAAAATAAATAGAAAGAGCAGATGAATAAATTATGCTTACTGTTTGTCTTAATGCAAATGCCTTATAGCCTGCGTGCATGCGTGTGTTGTGCTCAAATATGAGAAGCCCAGTGTGTGTTTGTGTGTGGGCATGAAAGGATTCTTTCTTGCCCTAAAGGGCACGAGTTGATGTCACTGTTGAGGTCACTCTCAGGAGATAATGGTCTTTTCACACAAAACATCACACAATCATAAAACACTTCTATGATTGTACTCAATTCCAAGTTCTGTGATACACTGTTCTTAATAAATAATTTAATAAATTACATTTATTTAGACATTTCTGCGAGTGAAACAAAGTCACTTTCCCTCAATCTCTCTTATTTAAAAAAAAACACAACCACATCGATTTGAAAAGTACCTGTTTTCTGTAGCTCCACAGGTAGTCTCATCTCTGTGCTCTGGAATGATCTGAGACATGGAGGCTGTTTCCTTCGGAGCTTTGAGCCAATCAGAACTGTCAGAAGAGTTGACTGAACTCTCAGGTACAGAGACTACACTTAGGTCTTGTCTATCTGAACTGTCTTTAACTGGTGATACCTGGTCTGAACCCAGAAACACATCTGCAGATTCTAACACCTTGCTGACTTCCTCTTCACTAATTTCACTGTAATCTTTCAGTGTTGCTTTTTCAGTAAGAAGCGATTCTATGTCTCCACAATAGCTATCTGCTGTGTCAGGATTTTGCTTGCGACTACTTCTAGATGTATCTGTGACAGTTTCACATAAAATTTGAATAAAAGACTTGGGCTGCTGACTAGACTGTTGATTGCCTGTGAGAGGTTGCTGAAGGGAATCCTGGGGGTCAGTCACCAAGTAGACAGCGGTCTCAGGGTATAACAATGACGCAACCTTTTTCATTTCAATCAGTGTCCCATCAGTGACTTCCTCTATTGGCTGGTCTACATTACCGACTATTGCTTCATCAGGGGAGGATAAAGAGTGCTCCTCCAGCTTGCTTTGGTTTTCTTTGGATATGCTTTCTTTCACTATAGTCTCTGAGGACTTAGGTTCAGCCCTTTTGGACATCTCTATGCATTCTTTTTCAACGGTCTTATTCTCTTTTTCGTCCTCTGTCTGTTTATTTATCTTTTCTTGAATTCCTTCTGGCTGTTTTCTGTCATTTGAACCAGTGTCTTCTGCTTTCATAGTACTGGTTGTGTTTTCAGAGCCTGAACAAGTTCTTACATGTTGTGACTGCATGAGCTGCTGTTCAGAACACTGTGTATCCTGCTCCTCTGTGATTTGGGTACGGACTGGGAATTGCTCTGACAAATGCTTATTAAGCTGCTCCATCCTCCAGACGGCTGTCTCAGATTGCTGAGAGGAATTAGGAGCATTGGACTCTACTGCATCTTTAGAAGCATGGTCCACACTTATCTCTTTTTCCTCTTCAATACTTTCTTGGAGCACAGAAGCAGATAAAGTGAATGTGGTGGAGAGCTGCTCATCAGAGGACTGAACAACTAACTCTTTCGTTTGCTGAAGTTGGGAAGTTCCTTCAGGAGACATCTGTGCAATATCACTCATTGAATCACAACAGATCGCAGTGTTTCCAATGTCTCCAGGCGTAACAGAAGCGCAACATTTCTCATTTGTCTTTAGTCCTTCTGCATGGTGTGAGAGGCTGGGAAGCACAGAGAATTCACTTGAGTAATTTATAGGAGGTTCTGAGCCTTTCTTGGTGTCAAGGATTTCATCCAACACATTTACATGCTCGTCCACACTAGTCTGTGATTTGGTACATTCTGCATGTTTAGTCACACTTTTCTGGGATGCTGAGATTGAAGGCTCTTTTGCCTCTGTAGGCTCTATAACCTTTTTGACTACTTGAGTTTCAGAAGCCGACAATGCTGTGATAGACAAGTTTGGAGCCGGCTGTGTTTGAATTTCACTTGAAATACCACTAAGATCTATTTTTTGCATACTCTGCTCTTCATTCTGTGGACATACATTGTACACAGCAACATGTGTGTCATTGTTCCCCACCAGTATGGCACTCTCTGATGTGCTGTTTAGCGAATCTTGAGCCTCTGCACTACAATACACCATCACTTTATCTTGCATTTCACTTGCTTCAGCATCTGCATGATTGTTGGTCTCGGCATTTTCGAAACCATTTCTTTTACCCACACTTAACACTGCTTCTGGGACACTCATAAACTTATGTTGCTGCTGAAGCTCTTGGGATTGGGAAAATACCAAATCTGACTGGCTCAAGTCCCTCGGATCTTGTGTGTGGTCTCTCTCGGGAAAATCAGGATCAGGCACAAAACTAGACTGCAATTTTCCTCTTGGAATGGGTTTATTTAATAAGTTTTCTTCTCCTGATAACTTGAAATGATTTATTAATGTCTGGGTCTCTCCTTGTGTTTGATCAAAGTTTTCTTTTGCAGCAGTCTTATCCGGTTCTTCAGAGGTATTTTTCCTTTCTTTGCTGTCCTTTTCTGAGACCGTTTTTACATTGTCTCTCTCATGTTCTTTCACACACTCCTTGTTTTGCTCTCCACCCATCACCTGCCTGAACCCTTCGGATACATCTTTATTAATTCTTACATTGTCTACAGACACATAATGATCAGGTTCTTCAGTCAGAAGTGTTTCGCCCGGAAAGTGCATCAGGAGCGAATCACATTTGAGGTCATCATTAGGACTCATTAGGACAATAGGTGTTGATTCAGAGTTATTTTTGTCTTTCTGCTCCCTAAAATCCATTTCTTCTTGTTCCTTTCTTTCATCCTGCTTCCATTTTTTCTGTTCATTTCCTTCTTCCTGTGCGGCACTATTTTCATTTTTTCCACTGGATTCTTCTTCAGTTTCCTTCACACTCTCCTTGCTGTGACCTTCTCCTTTCACCTGCTTGAATCTTTCAGATTCGTCTTCATGATTTAACTCATTGTCTGTTGTAACATTTGTAGATACATTGCATAAATTATTTTCATATTTAGAATGTACATGTCCTTCTCCCTTATCAAATTCTACAGTGCCCGTAGATGCTTCAATCTCTTTCGTCTTTGCATTTCCAACAATATCTGGGGTTGTTGAAATTAGCAGTGAACAACCTGTCTGTTCTAGTCGGTCAGTTGTGAGCAGAAAGGACCCAGATGATGCTGCAATTTCCTGTGCAGAGACACCAACAGTGTAGGGATCGTCTGCATTTTGTTTTCTTAACATGCTTTCATTTACATTTGACTGTTGATTCATTTTGTCTGCATTATTTACAATCTCTGCATCAGACTTACACACAAGGTTCACACTGCAATGCTCCCCGGTTCCTGCTACAGCAATATCACAGTCATTAATGGACTCATAGTGACTCAGCATTGGGCCTGGAGCCTTTAGTACAATGACAGACACATCTCTGGCATCACTGTTACTGCTTTGTTTGGTGGTTGAGGAAAGATCACTTTGTGCTGGTACTGTAGTTTCCGCCGCAGGAGGAGAGGGTACTGCTGTATCTCCAGCATCCACTGCATCACTTTTAATTATTTCACCAGTAAACTGTGATTCTGTCTGATGTGTCAGCATGTCTGCACACTTATCAGGTTTTGACAGGAGTGGCACCTCTGTGGTTGTAGTAGGATGCTCGGTGTTGGATGTTTTGTCTGGTTGAGTGCAAGGACACATGCTATCTGTGTCGGGGGCTACTGCTGGAGACATGGAGCTGGTTTTAACCTGTGACTCCTCTTCATGAGTGTATTTTTCTATGCATAACTCATGCTGTCGACTGTCATTCACAAAATTCTTTGAATTACCTGGACATATTACTTCTATATCATCTACTTCAGGCAACGCACCTCCCTTTATTTTGTCAGTCTCTTCATTCAGCCTTTCCTTGCTGCCAAATAGCATTTCTATATGTCTCTGTTTAACTCCTTTAGACACAGCAATATCATCCCGCTCACCATCCACAGCAGGACTGCTGTTACGACACTCTTGTAGAGAAACGTCCTGTAGTAAAACACTATTCTTCTCAGTGGATGATGACTCATCTGTATCACTTGGACTGATCTGAGTAACATTCAAAGACTCTTTATATTCTTGGTTCTGTTTAATTGCTTCAGTTTCTTCCAGAATTTCATTAACCACATCCTTTGTTTCAGAAACACCGGTGGTTTCATCTGCAGCTGACAGTGATGAAAATATAACATCCGTTTCATCTGTCACTTTTCCACTTTCTTCACAACCACCCATATTTCCATTCACATTTTCTTCAAGTTTTACAGTAGTCTCACCCTGCTCTTGAGATGTGCTGGTTGTTTCTATGCAGTCCTTTGACCCTTCTTTTGTCGTTTCCACTTGTTCCTCAAAAGCAGTAGGTTCTTTTAATGCACTGGATTTTTCCTCTTCTATGTCTGGTTTGTTGGTGCTGAAAAAACCTTTAAAGTTAAAGCTAGTTTCTTTTACCGGGTGTCGAAGACTTTCAAATACCATCAGTGGAGGCAGAGAGGCACATTCAGTCATTTGGCTTTTGAGTGCTGTATCCTTTTGGTCCTCAAAAGAGCTCTGCATACCTTTTGGAGACATACACTCTTCCAACTTGGTACAACTTCCGGCGATATCCCTCATGCTCACTTGTAGCTTAGTTGTTTGAGATGCGTCTTCACTTGTAGGAATTGTTGTTTCTGTCTTGATGGATGTCTCACAGCTTGCGGTTCTAGTTTGTGAAGAGCTCTGTACCTGTTGATTGTCGACTTGTGCAGCAAGGCATTTGTTTTCTGAAGAAAATGCTGGCGGAAATGATCTGTCGCTGCCAAGCAATTCTGCTCCTGATGCTCGTGGGCTTGGATTCAGATTAGCCTCTTCCTCTCTCTGCGTTTCTGTCTCTGTAGAATTTATGTGGGAAAGAGGAGGGGGTGGGCTGATGGAGACGCAGTTGTTTATTCTGTTGATGGTCAGAGGAATCGGGGCTGTGCCTGCTGTGACAGGAAGGATGAGGTCACTCTCGTCCTGTGTCGCCACTAGTGATGCTGTGATGCCGTGGGATGGACACGTCTCGGTTGCTGCCTCTGTCTGTGACACCCTGCCGGTATGTGCTGCGTTCTGTGCTCCTCCTTCGCTTGTCTCTTTCCCCTCTTCTTCACTCTCTCCTTTTCTCTTCTTTGATCGGGAACTCCCACCCTCCCAATCACATGTTCCAAGGATGCCTGGAGAGGAATATGTGACCAGAGCTTTGTCCTCTGTGTCGACCGTGCCTGTATCCTTGTTTCCAGCTGGGGAGAGTGCGATCAGCGGACCCCCTCCCTTCCTCTCGCTCTCTGTCGAGTTGTGTGGCATTTTGTTGCCACTGCTCTCCTCAGTCGCCTCCTCTTTCGGAACAGGTGAGCACTTAATCTTTGGAAAGATTACTGAGGTGCATTGCCGTCCCTGTTCAGTCGTAATTTCAGTTAATGTTCCCCGTGAGCTTGGAGACTCATCTGCTTCCAGCACTGTCGATTCTCTCTCTGCTGCTTGTACTATTATTGCGACACTTTTGAACGCATCATCTCTCTTCTTCTCTCCCTCGCTTTCTATCATTTCTGGCATCGTGGGTGTTTGTAGCAATGTGGAAGCAGCAGACTCTGCTGAAGCCTGTTCAAGGGCACTCTCTTCCTCCTCTTCTTCTTCTGCAACGGTTTGGTTCAGAGAGTGTGAATTCCCCCACACTGCTGTGTTTGCGTTTGCATCAGCTCCACTCCCTAAAGAAGGTCCATTCTCCGGCTCCAGTGGACATGTCTCCAAGTCATATCTCCCTTTGAGCTCATGTTCAGGGGCTGTTTTAGCTTGGCCAAAATCAATCACAACAGCAGATGCATCAGACACATTTTTCTCATGTTTTACTTCCCCTGTCGTACAGTGGCTGTGGTGTATGGTTTCATCTTCTGATATTGATTTGTAGGGTCCATCTGTCTGGTCCTGGTCATGTTGCTCTGGCCCCTGTGGAGAGTGCAGTATTAGGGCAGGTGGAGCCTCAGCCAGTGAAAAATTAGCTGGGTGAGCCTTGGGTTCTGGAGGTGGGGAGCAGATCAATTGTTTACCCTCAGGACTCAGCTGTTCTGAGAGTCCTAATTCTGGTCTTTGATGCTCAAGGCTGGATCCTACTTTTGTGTTTGTTTCTATCTGTCCACATATCTGCTTCAGTGTCCCTGACTCCACCTGTTTTTGTGTGTTTGGTTGTAAGCTTATTTTAGCTAACGTATGACCAGCATGTTTATCCATTTGTGGGGATTGGCATGTCAGTAAATCACTAATTAACTGACTATGCGTCTCTATTTTCATCTGCGTAGCTTTTGCGGAACTGGTGACTTCTTCGATCACAGGATTTAACTCTTGAAGTACTCCGGTTTCTCTCTGGGTTGTGTGTGCTATACAATTTATTTGGTTTTTATCTTGTGTGTTCTCACCCTCCAGGGTGTATTTCGAAGAGCACATATCTTGTATTGATTGATCCTGGGTAAGTGTTTCCTTTGTTGCATCCATCTCTGATGTTTTTTGTGTACCTGTCCACATGCTATGCGTTGGTTGTTGGTCGGCTATGTTCCCAACTGTGTCTATTTTTGTCTCTATCTCTGATTTTTTTTGCTGTTCTGCCTCTGACAGCTGGCTAGCTTCCTCACTGTGGTTTTCTGTTATACCCTTGATGTTTTTGACATCCTTAGCTCCAGCTGTACAAGTATTAGTTATCTTTTTTCCAAGAACATAATCTCTGAAGCTTAACACCCTCTCTTCACCTGCTGATGAGTCATTTTTGTGTGCTCCGTTTTCATGGCAATCTCCATGAAATTTGATAGGTTTATGTGAAGATGAACCAAAATCCTTTATGACTTCAGCCTTCTCAGATTGTTCATTTTTCTCATCATTTTCAGGCCGAGCTAAAGAGAAACACCTGTCCAGATCACCTGTAGTCCATGTGTCTGCATGGGAGGTTATTCCAAAAGCAGTCATTTCATCCTCACATTTCTTTAAAGCTTCCTGGAGTTCATAATCCACCTGGGCAGCCAAAGGATTAAGGGATGGAACATCTTGCCGTGGTGTGCTAGACAAGTGGTTCTGGGTCAGCGATGCGGGCTCAGTAGAAACTTTGCCACCATCACAGCTAACAGCGTTCACCAAAAAAGAGACATTAGAATAAATCTGCTCTGAGATACATTCAGTTGTTTATTCCACACCAAGCCAAAGCACTCAACTTCACCTCATGCCAGAGACAGGATGAGAGTTCATGCATGGGCACAACTTAGTGCTTAAAAAGCGAATGAAACTAAAGACACACACACTGCAAAACATGTTTGTTGTCTTAAAGGGATACTCCACTTTTTTTGGAAATAGGCTCATTTTACCACTCCCCCAGAGTTAAACAGTTGAGTTTTACCGTTTTCGAATGTATTCAGCCGATTTTCTGATATTTAGAAGAATATCAGTAACCAGACAGTTACTGGTCTCATTGACTTCCATAGTCTACTATGGAAGTCAATGAGACCAGTAACTGTCTGGTTACTGATATTCTTCTAAATATCAGAAAATCAGCTGAATGGATTTAAAAACGGTAAAACCCACCTGTTTAACTCTGGGGGAGTGGTAAAATGAGCCTATTTCCAAAAAAAAGTGGAGTATCCCTTTAAAACTAGGAAAACTTTTCTTGAGAAGCAAAAGTCCATAAGTATATAACTTAAATTAAGCTTATATTTCTTATCTCAATAGCATATTGCTTTTTTTAAAAATTTATTGAAAATTATTTTTATCAAGCAATTTTGCTTCTCAAGTAAATGCATCTTATTTTAAGGATGTTTAGATAATTTTGTTGGAAAACAACGCTTTGAAAAAACGATAAAAAAAAATTTTTTGCTTAAATAGTTTTTTTGTTGTTTTTTAACCAGTGCACACATCAAAAAGGGTTCGACTAGTATACACTGTCATGATTTTTTCATAGGGTAAACCTCTTCAATTCCTCATTTCAACTTTATACATCACTTGCAATCATATGTAAGATTATAATCAGGATGCTGAAATATTATTGTAATTTTGAAAAGCTGAAATAAGAGTGTTTGCCAAGTAAAATCCTTCACAGAATTCATAGCCTCAATCTTATAGACTTGGCAGAAAAATCCAGTTTTAGATGAAGGTCAATGCATCAATGCTTTTAGTGTTGTATTAGTGAGAGTGGCTACCTACATGACATAAGAGAACCAGCCAAAAAAGAAAAAAAAAACACCAAACAACCTTTTTATGGGAGACATTATACAACCTGGTGAATCACTGTGACTAAATCATGTTTCCAGAGCTGAAAAACAGTCAGTGACTACAGTATCATCCCAATAAAGAATGACAGCCATGCTTCCTCCACACTGCCTGTGACGTCCCACCTAGTGTCCTTCTCTCTCTGTGCCTCCAGGGCCATTAACAGAACAGAGACAGCCGAGCTAACACATTTATGCCTGTCATTTTACACAAAAAAATCTATCAATCACCTTCACCTCAAATGGAAACAAATGAGGGAGCAGATCGTCATGTTTTTTCTATTGGACCAAAGAGTGGTCATGTGATCAGCCAGCTTGGCTTGCTGATGACAACAGGCTCAACCACGCAGCCTTTTTTTTTCAGTAAATGATTATGACTGGAAGCTGACACTCCCATTCAGAGGAGGCCAGAAAAAAAAAAAGTTTGTAACTCTTCTCTGGCATAACTGGAAAGTCAGACAGCTGTACTGCAGTTTAAGTTACGGCATTTATGCTTGTATATGCTAAAATCCTGAGGCCTTTTGGCATACTGCATGTCTGCATGAATTACTGAACTGCAGCCACTCCCTACTGCACTGTCAGGCAGCATTTCAATACCCACAATCCTCTGCCCTTCACCTAAGCGTTTCTACAGTATAAACATAAACAGTTTAGTCTGACATGATACACCATATTTAGTTTAAAGAGAAACTAACATTAACTAACACTAACTAACATACCCTTAAAACATGTGAAGTATGAATGGAGATCACATCTGTGTATGCAATAGCAACCAGATTTGTTAATGTGTTGACAATTCTCTCAACAGGAAAAAAATTCACACACACGAAACAACCACAAATATACACACACCACACTCAAACATGGCTTCCGGTTACATCTCTCACGCAGTACATTGATTGCGTGGTGAACCATTGTCACAATGCAATGCATGTTAAAGAGACATTTCAGCTGGTCAATCAAAAATCAAACAAAAACAACTCTAGTTTAGTTCACAGCAAACCAGCTCAACCAATTGTAAAGCCAAACATATTCAACAGACCACCAACCCAGTAAGCACAGCTACATTGGTGTGAGTGTTTTTGAGTTGTGAAAAAGTTGTGAAAAGGTTGATTAAGTTTTAAATACATTTTTAAAATAATAATGTTTTAAATACTTACAAAATACTTAAATATGCAAGTGTACATTAAAAAAAGAAACATTTTATATAATTTTTATTAACACATCCAACTTGTTTTTGACGCTTACATTTTGTGTTTACCATTAAAAAGTAAGCTACTTCTGGTTGTATTTTGTTCATAAATTTGCATCTATATAAATTATAAACAAATAAATCAGGGAAGATATTTTACGCCTTTGTCATTCAAATGTGCTGATTGCAAATATAGATATTTGATAAACCTAAATAAGGAATATATTCCTTTTCTCAAAGTTGCTGTTAGGTGTTGTATTTAATCCAAATACAAAATACTTTTCATTATGCCATTTTTATGTCTTTCTGCTGTTAGTCAAACAGTTCTAAAACA